TTGAAAGCCCGTCTTTACTAAAAATAAAAAAAATTAGCCAGGCGTGGTGGCACATTGCTATAATCCCAGCTACTTGGGAGGCTGAGGCAGGAGAATTGCTTGAACTTGGGAGGCAGAAGATGCAATGAGCTGAGATTGTGCCATCCACTTCAGCCTGGGCAAAAGACTAAGACTCTGTCTCAAAAAAAAAAGAAAGAAAAAAAGGGGGCCGGGTGCGGTGGCTCAAGCCTGTAATCCCAGCACTTTGGGAGGCGAGGCGGGTTGATCACGAGGTCAAGAGATCGAGACCATCCTGGTCAACATGGTGAAACCCCGTCTCTACTAAAAATACAAAAAATTACCTGGGCATGGTGGTGCAAGCCTGTAATCCCAGCTACTCAGGAGGCTGAGGCAGGAGAATTGCCTGAACCCAGGAGGCGGAGGTTGCGGTGAGCCGAGATGGCGCCATTGCACTCCAGCCTGGGTAACAAGAGCGAAACTTCGTCTCATTTAAAAAAAAAAAGAAAAAGAAAGAAAGAAAAAAAGAAAAGAAAGCTGAGAATTTGCCCCACTCAGGTACCTGATTCCTTTAGCTTTTTTCCTGTGGCCTTCTTAGTGGCAGCCTCCTCTCCCTGGATCTAGTCTGAGCCCTGGCTGAGAGAGAAGAGAGCATCCACCTGGCCAAGAGACACAAGAGGGTGTGTGTGTGTATGTATGTGTATGTGTGTGTGTGTGCACGCGCGCGCTGATGGAGAAGACATGGTGGGCAGCATTTTCCTCATCATGTACTGCAACCTTCCTGCTCTATGGCCAGAATTGGCTGATCATCAGTCCCAAAGCTGATCAGGTGCAGCCAAAGATGCCCACAGCACGTGGACATAAAGATAGAGCAAATGGCACCCCGTTTAAATGGAAATCATGTCAATGGCTTAGCACTGTGCCTGGCCCGGAGAGGCATCCAACTGTGGTAGTTGTATTTTTGCTGAGAGGACCAGCACTCAGCAGAGGATCCTTTTCACTTGCTTCCAGACCCCCTCCCACATGTCCCACTGGCCCTGGGGTGGGGTGCAGTGGCAGGGAAGAAAGAGTGAGCCCCAAGAGTCCTCAGGACAGACATCCATCCTGCAGCTTCATGCCCCTCCCTGAAGTTAATCCAGTTGAACCCTTTTTACCAAGCGCCATTGGCTGCGGTCCTCCCCCTGGCCTCCAAATCAACTTTGGTCTCATCGGGGTGATGGAGAACTTTTTCTGAGGCTTCATCTCTTGGGGACCATGTCTGGTGGTTCATCACTATCCCAGAAAAGGTCTGGGTGGGGGCGGAAGAGGACATTGAATCAGTGAGAAAGGTCTGAGGGTAAGCAGGAACTGTTAGGCCATCACAGATAGGACAGATCCCCCACAAAGGAGGAAAACCAAGGCTTCCTATGGTTGCCTATCAGCAGAGAAGTGGGGCCAGCGTTCTGCAGAGGACCTCCGAAATCCTAGAACATCAGGTCGAAAGGGTTTTAGGGCCATCTCAGCATACTCCCTTGCTTTGTGGAAGGGGACGCTGAAGCAATCTGAAATGATCACGTTTCACAGAGGGTTCTGTGTGGTGGAGAATTTGAGGTGGCATTTTTTTTAACGATAGAGATGGGGTCTTGCTATGTAGCCCAGGCTAGTCCCAAACTCCTGGCCTCAAGTGATCCTCCTGAATCGGCCTCCCAAAGTGCTGGGATTATAGGTGTGAGCCATGGGGCTGGGATGACAGACGTGACCCATCGGGCTGGCTAATGGGAGTAGTTGACTGTTCAGGGTAGCTGTTTCTCTGAGGCCCAAACCATGACAGAGGTTTGGGCCTCAGTGAGTAGTTGAGTAAAAAAGAAATAGCATTAGCAGTGAAGTAAAATCTCTGTGGACATATATAGATTGTATTAAAATTACATCAGAGAGGCAAATACTACCTTGCTCCTTGGTAGTCCCCTTGGGAAGACCTGCATGCTTTAAAAAAATCACCCGGGCCTGGTGGCTCACGCCTGTAATCCCAGCACTTTGGGAGGCTGAGGTGGGCAGATCACGAAATCAAGGGATTGAGACCATGCTGGCCAACATGGTGAAACCCCATCTCTACTAAAAATATGCAAAAATTAACTAGGCGTGGTGGCATGTGCCTGTAATCCCAGCTACTCGGGAGGCTGAGGCAGGAGAATTGCTTGAACCTGGGAGGCGGAGGTTTCAGTGAGCTGAGATTGCACCACTGCACTCCAGCCTGGTGCCTGGCAACAGAGCGAGACTCTGTCTCAAACAAAACAAAACAAAAAAACCACTATACCCTTTACTTTTATATATTTAAAGGTATTGGAACTTGATACAAATAAACCAACTATTAATTCAGCCTATTTATTTATATAGAGACAGAGTCTCATTCTATTGCCCAGGTTGGAGTACAGTGGCATGATCTTGGATCCCTGCAATCTCCACCTCCCAGGTTCAAGCGATTATCCTGCTTCAGCCCCTTGAGTAGCTGGAGTTACAGGTGTGCACCACCACACCAGGCTAATTTTTGTAATTTTAGTAGAGATCGAGTTTCACCAACTTGGCCAGGCTGGTCTGAAACTCTTGACCTCAGCTGATCTGCCCACCTTGGCCTCCCAAAGTGCTGGGATTATAGGCGTGAGCCACCGTGCCTGGCCCCCAATTTTATTTTTACTGAGCACCTATTATGTGCCATGCACTGGGTTAAAGTGCCATGCACTTTAGAGCTAGGGGCAGGTTTAGAGGGATGGCCACTAGCTCTAAAGAGCATCTCAAGGCCAGGGCCCTTTCCAGGGAGCCCTCCCTAGGGGCAGCCAGGGGCAGCAGGGCATGCTCAGGGGCTTGCTCTGCCCTGCGTGGCTCTGCCTGCTCCCATTCCTGGTGTGTGAGAGGGTCAGCTTGCTACAAGAGATCAGCCTAGAGGGTCTCTCTCCTGTCTCTCCTTCACCTTCCAAGCTCCACCCCCCTCCTCTGGCAGATTGAAAAGGTGCAAGGGGGAATCTGAGAGATTCTGTGCTGTTTGTTTTGGGTTCAATGGAATCTCATTTACACGTGTTAATTGCAACTAATTGGCACTAATTGGATGAACAGGAAACCCTCTGGGAACACTCATACCTTTAATTTGTAGTAAATATCATTAATTAACATATGCTAATTAGAGCCAATTAACATTGATTAAGGGTTGCCAGCTACTTGGAAAGTACAACTCTGTGTCCTCCTCCCTTGATTGTCTGAAGTCAGCACAAAATATGATACATGAAGTCTGAGAGGAGGAGGGGACAGAGCATGGCATCGAGTGGGATCTCCTGGTGGAGGGCATCGCAGCTCCAGCAGCCCTCACCCAAGCTGAGCACTTAGAGGATGGCAACTGCCCTCACCTTCCCCTGGGCAAAGGAGCCTTTGGGGAAAGGCCCTGGGAGATTAGCGCTTCTCAGGGAGCGGGAAGGAGCAGATGGTGGGAGGTTCTGGGTGCTGAGATGTTCTCCCTTTTGCCTGGTGCCTGCATGGCAGACCCAGTCAGGGTGGATTGAAACAGGACTGGAGATCAACCAGTGGGGGGACTGGACATCAGCCAGCAGGGAGACTGGGGCCACTGAGACCAAGCAATGTATGGGACTCCTCCAGAGATGAGGGGAGGTGAGATACCCACTGCCCATTGACCCAGTACCATGTGACATGGGGTGTGTGTGCATGGCCAATTGGAGTGAGCCTTTCAGGATCCCAGTGACATCTCTCATCATCCAGAAAGGCCACACAAATGCAGGAGGGCATGCCAGGAGGAGTCAGGAGTCAGAGGTGTTTTGTGTGTGTGTGCGTGTGTGTGTGTGTGTGTGTGTGTACCCAACATCTTGGATGACATGGATGTATGAATGGGGACATCTCCTCTATCTGACATGAGGTACATAGATGATACAACCACCTCTGACCGACATCTCCTTTGAGAGTTTTGAGATATTTTTTACTGAAGACTAGGATGCTGTTCAAACTTTCTAGGCTATGGGTGTCAGTTAAATTAAAAAAAAAAAAAAAAAAAAAAAAAAAAAAAAACCGTTTGCCTGGGAGCCAGAAGGCTTTTAGTTTCTACTTTCAGTTCTGTTACTAACTAGTTATGGGACCCCTGGGGTTCATTTAAAAAATGTATAAATTGTTTTATTTTAGTCTAATTACAAAAGAATTAAATGTTTATGGCAGACCTCACCCCCTCCATCGCCTCCTTCTGTGATGGGCTTCTGCGGCCCCACCCTTCCTCTTCTATAGTATTCACCTTGTCTTGTGTCCAATGTCCATCTTCATCAACAGGCCATGAGTTTCCCGAAGACAGGATTTAAGTCTGTCATGTTCATTGTGCTGTTTTACAGACACTAAAAATATCTGTTGGCTAGACGCCATGGCTCATGCCTATAATCCTAGCACTTTGGGAGGGCGAGGCAGGAGGACTGCTTGTGTCCAAGACCACAAGACCAACTGGGCAACACAGAGAGACCTTGTCTTTGCAAAAAATAAAAAATTAGCTGGGCTCAGTGGTGCATACTTGTGGTCCCAGCTACTCAGCTACTCAGGAGGCTGAGGTGGGAGGATCGCTTGAGCCCAGGAGGTCAAGACTGCAGTGAGCTGAGATCGTGCCACTGCACTCCAGCCTGGGCAACAGTGAGACCTTGTCTTCAAAAAATTAAAAGTCAATAAAAATAAAAATATTTGTTGTGTGAATGAGTGAATGAACGTGTAAACGAAAACTATCTGTAATTTCTACCACCACAGAGAAAAATGACATTTGGCATTTGGGGTGTGTGTATATGTACTTGTGTATACATATTAATATCTATAAATAAAACATGTTATATATAAAAACACACACACACACACACACACACACACACACACACACTGCTGTCCCAAAAGGCTTAGTGTAGTTTTTGCTCTAATAACTTCAAAAGTGTAAATGCTACAAACTTTTAAGAACAAAAAAAATCTAAAACTTTAATCATTTCAATTTCTTACACACTTAGCATTGTGCTCTCCAGAAAGGCTGCACTTGGTCACAGTTTCGTTAGCATGGCATTCGAATGCGGCCTCCTTGGATTCTGGCCAGCACTGGGCACTGCTGCTGTCTTCGAGCCACTAGGTAAGCCGTCAAGCACTTTTCCTCATCTGCGGAATGGGGCCAGTGATATCAGCACTACTAAACCCTCCAGGCCTCCCATGTGGAAGAGTGGGGGTGATTTTGTGATCCAGAGACAGGAGTGTTTGTTCTTCAAGAGACATGAGTGTTATGGCTCCCAGATTTGAGCTGCTGGCTCTGATGAAAAGAGATGGGGGCCTGGGTGGGCCAGAACTTGGAGAAACCTCACCTCCAAGGGAGCCTCTGTGGGTAGATCCTCATTCACCTAACTCAGAGGAAAAGGGCTGGAGGGGTTGGGGTTCAGGACAAGGCAAATCATAAGGCTAGAGAAATCCTCCATAGCACCACGCAGGGTAAAGTGAGTCAAGAGCCTCTGCTGTAGGACAGGCCCTCTTCTAAATTCTTTTTTTGAGACAGAATCTCACTCTATCTCCAGGCTGGAGTGCAGTGGTGTGATCTCAGTTCACCGCAACCTCTGCCTCCCGGGTTCAAGCCGTTCTCCTGCCTGCCACTGCACCCGGCTAATTTTTTGGTAATTTTTAGTAGAGACAAGGTTTCACCATCTTGGCCAGACTCGTCTTGAACTCCTGACCTTGTGAACCACCCGTCTTGGCCTCCTGAAGTGCTGGGATTGCAGGTGTGAGCCACCGCACCCAGCCTCTAAATTTTTGCAAGCATTCATTCCTTTAATGTTCCCACAACCCAATGATGTCGGTTACTAGTATTACCCCATTTTGCAGACAAGGAAACTGAGGCTCAGACAGGTTAATTAATGTGTCCTAGGTCACACAACCACCAAGTGGCAGGGCTTTGATGATGAATGTAAGTTTAGAGCCCATGTTGCCTGCTGTGTACTGCCCCCTCCCTTCCACCCACTCTGGCTTCAGGAAGCTGCAGCTTCCGGGGTGGAAGCCCCAAGGTGGGGAGCCCCCTGCCCTGCCAAGGTCCCAGCAGCACTGCTGCCTGAGTCCAAGTGGACCCCTGTTCCCAGGTCCTTCCCCATGGAAATCTGAGGTCTGAGGGAGAGCTGCTGGCGAGGTTCACAGCAGCTTAATTACCAAAGTGATTTTAATTTGTTTTTGTTAATTGAAATCTCATTAAGCAAGTAATTTACTCCAACACAGCTTAGGAGTCCACAGTTCCATGGGTGAGGAGGCTAAAGGGGTTTTTAGAACTTGCCTTCATCTGGGACTGTGCCTCTTATCTGATCCTGTGGCCTGTGTGCCTCCGAGTGTGTGTGCACCTGGGCATCCCACAGAATGGCCCTCCCAGGGGCCCGGGGCACCCTTTCTCCTTCTTTGCCCATGTTCCCCTGCCCCACCACCATAGGGCCCTAGACCTTCCCTGCCCTGCCCTGTTCCCTGGAGTGATGAGGAAAAATGGACCTGAGCTGTCTCTCTGCAGGGGATGTGTGTACCCAGGTGTGTGGCACGTGGTGCAGACACACACAGATACCGTTTCCTACTTACTTATTTTCATGCCAAGTGCTGTTCTAGGCACCAAAGGTGCTGGGAGAAAAATGGGTCTTCACTTCCTATAGTAAATAGCTCCTTTGCCCCAAATGGGCCTTGGGGCCAGAGTCAGTCCAGGAAAGAGGCAGTTTCTGGGCTGGCTTCTCCCCCATGTCAGCCTGTACAAGTGCTGCCCACCTCTCTAGAGCATGTCATAGCCACTTCTCCAAAGAGCATTCATTCCCCGTGTCCTCCCAGGTGCACTTCCTTTCTCCTCGCTGTGTTTCCACTGAGTTGTGTTGGTCCTCCCTCTGGATTCATTCTCCTGTGTACCGGAGAGATGTGCTTCTCTTGCTAGCTGGACTGAAGCACCATGAGGAAGAGACCTTGCTTTATTTATCCAACCTGAGATGCAGAAGACAGAAATTCTTCCACACCTGTGCCTTACAGGTGCTGTTCAACTATTGCGCAGCAAATGAATGGATGAGCTGTGTCCTGCCCCTTCCTCAGAATGCAGCTGAAATGACCCTTTTGGGGCGGGGGGCGGTGGTGTACAACTAAGATTTGTAAACACTGTGTTTTTAAAATTGTGGTAGAATATACATAAAATTTACCATTTTCCACCATTTTGAAGTGTACAGTTCAGTGGCATTAGGTACATTCACGTTGTCACACAACCATCACCACTGTCCATCTCCAGAACTTTCTCATCATCCCAAATTGAAACCCTGTACCCATTAAGCAAAACTCCCCATCTTCCCCTCCACCCCCAGCTTCTGGCAGCCTTTCACTTCTCTCTCCATGGCTTTCACTCCTCTCATACTTCATGGAAGTGGAATCCTGCCACGTTAATCCTTTTGTGTCTAGCTTAGTTCTCTCTCCTTCCTTCCTTCCTGTTTCTTTCTCTCCCTTTCTTTCTTTCCTTCCTTCCTTCCTTCTTATTTATTTATTTTTTTTGAGATGGAGTTTCACTCATATTGCCCAGGCTGAAGTGCAATAGCATGATCTTGGCTCACAGCAACCTCTGCCTCCCGGGTTCAAGTGATTCTCCTGCCTCAGCCTCCCCAGTGGCTGGTATTACAGGCATGTGCCAGCACACCTGGATAATTTTTTTGTGTTTTTAATAGAGACGGGTTTCTCCATGTTGGTGAGGCAGATCTTGAACTCCCGACCTCAGGTGATCTGCCTGCCTCAGCCTCCAAAATTGCTGGGATTACAGGTGTGAGCCACCGCACCCGGACTAGCTTAGTTCTGAAATGGCACTTTTAAAGGGAGGACTTCTCTGAATTCTGGACTCTGTCAGTTCACCTGCCACGTGTTCCTGGGTTCCCTTCGATTACTCTCTCAGGTAGCACAGTTCCTTGCCATTGTCTTCCTTCCCCATTTGTCCCAGAGAACTCTTGCCTTCTTCTGGGCTGAGGTTCTGGCTTAGATGTGATGGTTCACAACAGAGTGTTTCACAATGGGGCCACCACAGGCATTTGGGGAGGTTTTCTTAAATTGAGACAGAGTCTTGTTCTGTAGCCCAGGCTGGAGTGCAGTGGCAAGAACACAGCTCACTGCAGCTTTGACCTCCTGGGCTCAAGGGAATCCTCCTGCCTCAGCCTGAGTAGCTGAGACTACAGGTGCACACCACCGAGCCCAGATAATTGTTTTTCAATTTTTTTTTTTTTTAGAAATGGAGTCTCATTATGTTGCCCAGGCTGGTCTTGAATTCCTGGGCTCAAGCAAGAGGAAGGCCAATTTTTCACTGAATGGGACTGTGTGGGCCATTTAGCATTCCTGGGCCTTGCTTATTCAGTGGCTGTAGCATCCCCCAAATAACTGTGACAACTCACACATACCCTCCACGTTTCCACCTTCCCTGGGTCGGGTGGGAGTTTAAAACAAGTGCAATTGCCTGTACACTGCCTGGCACACAGTAGGGGCTCAGCGAGCGTATGTGGAAAGGGTGACCGAAAGTGGGTATGAACCATGCCTCTGACCTGGCTGGTGTTTCTCCGAGATGTGCACATGTGCACGTGTGGCTGTGGCACGCTCCTCTGGCCTGTGCCCTGGGTGTACTGGCCGGCTGAGGATTCTGAACCCTGCTGGAGGCCAGTCCCTGCTTCCCTGGAGTTCTGTCTGCATTGGGTGTCTGCATTTTTTGTCTCTCCTCGTGGCCCCTGGCTGCTTCCTCCCCTTGCCCCTGCCTGTGGCCACTTGGTGGATTTCCAGGCCTGACATTTCGAACATGCAATGCCATATGTATTGCTACTCTCAGGTAATTATCACGTAAAATTAAGCTAGTCTTGTACATGAAACCAGCAATTAGCCAGGGATTGAAGGTCAGGGAGAGCTCATTTATAGAGTCGCTAACAAAATGTTAAGTGGAAGCGTGTGTCAGATGGGCCAGGAGGCTGGATTAGCTGGGGTCGCAGCAGTGGGACTGGAGAGCTGGTGGAGACTCCTAGCTCTGTAGTGCTGGGCACAGCAGGAGGAGCTGGGGATTTATGGCTCACACTTTTCTCTTCCAGTTCTCAATCTGGGGCATGGCTTTGAAGAGAAGGTTGCTAAGCCTCCTCAACCCCAATGCACACCAATGCCATTTCCCCACTCATCTGGAAACCTGGTGGGTCCTGGCCAAACGCCTGTATGTCAATTCCACCTCCAACTTGGCTGCCTACCATGCCAACATTTTCATCTCAAGCCTTTCAGATCTGCTTTGGGCACCCGAAGACAGAGTGAATCATCTTTCAAGGGTCAGACACTTAGCACATGGCCTTCCCTCTGCTTAGAATGCTTTTCCCTCTTTCCCAATTGCCTTTTATTATCAGCCTAAAAAATATTTATTTCTGTCCCTAAAATCTCAGATATTACTTCTCCAGGTGCTTTCCCAGACCCCTCACTTTATTCCAGAAGGAGCTACCACCACTTTTGCCTGGCGAGTACGTTTTCACAGTTACACTTATACGCTACAGCAACTTATTGGTGATTTGTCTGTCTCCCTTACTCAACAGTGAATTATTCACCTATCCCTGGAAACCTGGAACTACTCAATAAATGTTTGTGGCATGAATATACATATACGCTCTTCTGCCTTTCATTTTTTTACATACCCTTCAAGGCCTTGCTCAGCCATCACCTCCTTTTTCCTGGATTCACTTCCCTGTAGAGTTAATCATGCCTCTGTGTTCCCATGGCACTTTGTATGTGATTTCATTAAAAACTTGCCTGCTGAAAAACCGAAGACATCAGCTTGATATAAGAGAAAAAAACCTTGCCAAATTGCCTCATATTTCCTTATCAGCCTATCTGGGGCTACCATGTTGCACAACTCTGGGACACGATTCACATTAAATCAAGCAAAGCAGAGATGGCACCTGTACTTGCCCACTAGGCAGTGAAATTCTGCAGAGCAAAGACCCCATGACTTTACAAATATCCTGTATGTTATTTTCCAGAAAAATATGCTTTTCTGGACTACATTAGTGTCGATTCAGAATAGGTATGCAATAAACATGCAATGAACACATGTTTAATTATTCAACAGCGACAGGAGGTTCAGTGGAGAGAGCTCTAGAATTGGAGTCTGGGGAAGTGGATTCTAGTTCTAGACTGCTGTGCAGCCTTAGGTGAACCACCCAACCTCCCTGATCCTCATCCTTCAAAATCAAGTCATAAATGCCTAAAGTGCCTAGGACAAAGTAGGTGCTCAATGCATGTCAGTTTCCCCCTTTTCTTCATCTGTAAAATGAGAAATTTTAATATTTCTTGTATTCTTGTAGAACGAGGAGCTCTCAAAGGCTTGGAAGGAGTTTTGAAAGGCACCTTGGCATCTTTGAAAGGTGGTCATCCAGTTCCGGTGTGTGCATCTCTAGTGATGAACTGCTTCCTCACAAAACAGGCTATTCCACCTTCAGACAGCTCTGCCTTGAAAAGAGCCCCATTGTCTGACTCTTGGCTTCCCAGAATCTCCACCATAGGGACCAGTTTTGTGTCATGAGGCTAGTCCCATTGCCTCAGATGATATTCACAGACAGCGATCTGCTCTAGGCTCGAAGGTGCCAGTTCTATTGCCGTTCCTTATGTGACTTGATTGAAAACACAGTCACCCTCTTGGTTACCCTCCTCTGAGCTTGCTCCCCTTTGTCCAAAGACCTCTTAAGATGGAACTCCAGAAAAGGATAGGACTCTCATCTTCCTTTGCTAGAATGGTTGCCTTTTTTTTTTTGAGATGGAGTTTCACTCTCGTCACCTAGGCTGGAGTGCAATGGCACAACCTTGGCTCACCACAACTTCCACCTGCTGGAGTCAAACGGTTCTGCCTCAGCCTCCCTAGCAGCTGGGACTACAGGTGTGCATCACTATGCCAAGCTAATTATATATTTTTAGTAGAGACAGGGTTTCACCATGTTGGCCAGGATGGTCTCAAACTCCTGACCTCAGATGATTCGCCTGCCTCAGCCTCCCAAAGTGCTGGGATTACAGGTGTGAGCCACTGCACCTGGACAGAACATGTGCCATGGGCATTTATTAATGGAACCCAATATTATGTTGGGAGATAAATATATATATATATATAAGGTTTTTTGTTTTGTTTTGTTTTTTGAGACCAAGTCTTGCTCTGTTGCCCAGACTGGAGTGCAGTGGCATGGTCTGGGCTCACTGCAACCTCCACCTCCCAGGCTCAAGTGATTCTCCTGCCTTAGTCTCCCAAGTAGCTGGGATAACAGGACCATGCCACCATGCCTGGCTAATTTTTATATTTTTAGTAGAGGAGTTTTGCCTTATTGGCCAGGCTGGTCTTGAACTCATGACCTCAAGTGATCTGCCCACCTCGGCCTCCCAGTGCGATTACAGATGTGAGCCATTGCACTGGCCCCCATCTCTTTCAGTCCTAACAAACACTGCACCATAGGGAGGCAAAGTTGTATATGAGCAGAATTCCTTTTAAATTTTATTTCACATTTTACAAGTCTGCATTTAAAAAAAAACCATCACATGCAGTGTCCAAAAACAAATGATAAACTGGGGAAAAACATTTGCAATTCATACCACAGGCAAAGAGCTATTTATTTTATTTTTTTAGATGGAGTCTTGCTCTGTCACCAGAGCTGGAGTGTAGTGACATGATCTTGGCTCACTGCAACCTCCACCTCCCAGGTTCAAGCAATTCTTCTGCCTTATCCTCCCAAGTAGCTGGGACTACAGGCATGCACCACCACTCGTGTGTGTGTGTGTGTGTGTGTGTGTATTTTTAGTAGAGATGGGGTTTCACTATGTTGACTGGAATGGTCTTGATCTCTTGACCTTGTGATCCACCTGCCTTGGCCTCACAAAGTGCTGGAATTACAGTAGTGAGCCACTGCTCCTGGCAAGCTAACTTCTTTAATAAGAAAAAAAAAATCCACAGCTCAGTGTGACATATATCCACAATCTAATAAAAATATGAGCCAAGATACCAGAAAGTTGACAGGAAAGGGCCTGAAATTGCTTTGTTTGTTTGAGACAGAGTCTTGCTCTGTCTCCCAGGTTGGAGTGCAGTGGCATGATCATGGCTAACTGCAGTGGGTGATTCTTCCGTGTCAGCCTCCACAGGCGACTACAGGCGCATACCACCATGCCCGGCTAATTTTTGTATTTTTTGTAGAGATGGGGGCTCCCTGTTTTCCAGGCTGGTTTCAAACTCCTGGGCTCCATCGATCCTTCCACCAGAGATTACAGGTGTGAGCCACTATGCCCAGCCTTGAAATTCCTCTCAAATATATGAGAAGATGCTTAACCTCACTCATCATAAGAGAAATACAAATTAAAATTACAGTTGTTTTTCACCTGTCACATTGGCAAAGATAAAAATATATGATAACATTTTGTTGGTAAAAGTGTGGGAAAATTAGGCATTCTCATACATTGCAAGGGTAAGTTGGTAGAATCTGTCTTAGGGGGATGGGGATTTGGCTTTATCTACTCAATTTTTAAAATGCACGGATGCTTTGATTCGGCTACTCCGTCTCTAGGAATGTATCCTGAAGATGTACTGGCACGTGCACACTAGAAGTCACGTTCCACGAGGGCAGGGATTTCTGCCTGTTTTGTTCTATCTACAGCACATAGAATGCTGCCCAGCACATAGTAGGTGCTCAATAAATGCCTGAATGAATGACAAGCAAAATGACAAGATTTTTTATTGCGACATTTTTAGAAAGAGCAAAAGAGCAGAAATAATGTAAATGTCCAATTATTATGGAGTAGTATACTGCTGTTAAAAAGACCAAGGAAGCCCTCCATGTACTGATGTGTAAGGGTCTCCAAGGTATACTACATGAGAAAACCAAGGTGCAGAAAAATGTACGTAATAACAATGCAGCTGGATATTTGTTTGTCTAAACACAGAGTCTCTGGAAGGAAGCTCTTAAACTGGTCACTGTGCTTGCTTTAGACACAAGGCAGTGAGGGCCTGGGATATGGGGTGAGAGGCAGCTTAATTTTTCAGCATATTTGCAAATATATATATATATATATATATATATAAATTTTTTTATTTGAGATGGAGTTTTGCTCTTGTTGCCCAGGCTGGAGTGCAATGGCACAATCTTGGCTCACTGCAGCCTCCGCCTCCTGGGTTCAAATGATTCTTCTGCCTCAGCCTTCTGAATAGCTGCGATTACAGGTACCTAGCTAATTTTTTGTATTTTTAGTAGAGACAAGGTTTTACCATGTTGACCAGGCTGGTCTCAAACTCCTGTCCTCACTCAGGTGATCCGCCTGCCTTGGCCTCCCAAAGTATTGGGATTACAGGCGTGAGCCACCACACCCAATCATGTTTAAATAAATAAATACAATTCAGAGTTTTAAAATAGCTGGGCTCAGGAATTAATCCTTTGCTTTTTAGCTGTACATTTGTGTACATATGTGTCTGTACATATTTTTTTGAGTCAGGGTCTTACTCTATTAGCCAGGTGGGAGTGCAATGGCACGATCACGGCTCAATGCAGCCTCAACCTCCTGGGCTCAAGTGATCCTCATTTTTTGGAGATAAGGTCTCACTACGTTGCCTGTGCTGGTATCAAACTGGGCTTCATCAATCCCCTCACCTCAGCCTCCAAAAGTGCTGGGATGATAGGTGTGACTAGAGTGTCCGTCATGTCGGCACATTTCTAAGGATGTACATGTATGTGTATGTGTATATGTATGTGTGCATGCATGTATATTTCCAATCTATTACCTTGTCCACAACCACAGATTAGACTAAATAAAACAGGTCCTAAGGACTTCCCCTGTTCAACAATTTTTGATGGCTCCCTCTTATCTATAAAGTCCAAACTCTTTGTTCTGCTTGTCAAGATCTTCTGTCATCTGACCCTAACCTACCTCTCACCACACCCTTCACAGTTCTGCCACAGACAAATGGAGCTACTTGCTTTTCCTATGTCCACCTCCCAACTTCCCACCCTACGTCTTGAACTGTGCTCTTTAGAAACCGTGTCTTTAAAACAGTGCTCTTTCATTACTGCATCAAATCATACCCACTCTTCAAGACCCATCAGGAGCCTCTTTCTCCAGGAGAGCTACCTTGATATCCCCAGTTGGAAGTAGACTCTCATTTTTCACCTGCATTTCTCTTACAGCATTCAGGATTTTTCAGCCATGCAATGAAAGCTATTTCCACATCTGATAACAGTTCTCCTAAGCCATTGGAAGAAAGGCAGAGTCCAAGCTTGATTCCTGTTCACCTTGTCTTTAGAGTCCAGTAAATGCCAAGCACATAGTAGGTGCTTGAGAAATGCTGAAGGAATGGATATGCTTGTATCTAGGTGGTGATGATGAGTCTCTCTGGTCTTTGTATAGTCTGAGCAATTATGTTTGTCACCGCTGGGGAAAAGCCTTTTTCATACCTCGCTGCACCTGGCCCTGTGTGGGGCCTTCTAGAGGGCAGCTCAGCGTGAGCCACTGCAGCCCCTCCACACCCACCAGCCTGGCCACAGAAGAGGGGGCCCAGACGTGAACAGACGGTGAGGTAGCCACATTCCAGACAGATGAAGCACTCCTGGGAGGTCACATGTCTGACTCACCAACCCACCTGCAGACACTCAAGCTTTACTGACCCTTGAGCTGTCCTGGGGTTCGAATCTTCACTCTCCCTGTGAGTCTGCGCAAATGGCAACTCACTCAGTCTCAGGGTTCTCATCTGTAAAATGGGGACGGCAAGCCCTGCCTCATGGCTGCTGTGAGGTGTGGAGAGACTCCTGGGAAGTGCCTTGCTGAGGGCCTAGCATCTGGCAGGTTTTCAGAGGTTGACATGCAGGAAGCCACATCAGCCCGAGCTAAACCTAGAAAGGTAAACGTATTGCCAAAAACCCCATATGCCAAGCAGTGCTTTTGTACAAAGCCAAATGGATTTCTTTTGGCTCAACTATTGTTTGGGATTATTTTGCCACAGTGAATGCTCTGTGGGTGAGCACTGAAGACTCACCCAGGGTGTGGTACGGATGGTGGCCTCACATGTGCGAATGGACCCATGTGCATGTACACAGACACGGATGTGCATACTCGTTCTGTATGGGTGTGTACATACATTCATGTCGGTGGACTCCACAGCAGTCGTGCATGTGTGTCTGTATGTCCATGTGTCCACACATGTCATATGTTTGCTCCCGGCCACTCATGTCCTGGTTGCTGGCTTGGACACCCAGGCAGACTGGGACACGCCACCAGAAGGAATAAAGGCTGGTTGGAGAAATGCTGAGAAAAGATGGGTAAGAAGGAAAAAAATACTGAAACACTCAACATGTGGGTGAGGGGGTTGAAGGACAGGAGAGTGTGGTGGCTGAGACAGTGACCTGGGAACCTCTCCTAGGTTCAAACCCTTTTCCTGCTGATTCCCAGCTTGTCGCTTGGGCAGGTCACTCAACCCCTCTCTGCCTCAGTTTCTTGTCTATGAAATGGGGATTAGAACAACAGCACCTATGAAGTAAGACTGTTGGGACGAGTCAATGAGTGAATACCCGTGAAGTACTCAGTGGGGCCTGGCACCAAAGCAAGTGCTTGCTTCACAAACACTGCTGGAGGGCAGTGGCCTCTGCAGACCTCTCTTCTCCTTCCTCTTCCTCCCCTCTGAGTTGTGGCCTCCTAGCATCTTTCCCGCCTCTCCCACCTTCTCCCCTCCATCACTCCCCAGCCCCCCAACAACGTCCTGGTCTTTGCCAGAGCCAGGCTGGGAGCAGGCAGCACGTGCCACTGGCAGGGAAGGAAAGCCAGCATGGAGCAGGAGGAGGTGGAGACGCTGGCTCCAAAATGTTGCTTCTTTTTTTTCCTCCCTGTTTCCCAGCCATGCTCCCAGAGGCAGGAGGTTTGGGGGACAGTGGGAGGGCTCCAAAGAACAGACAATCCCAGCCATTCCCCAGCGGGCCGCAGGTCAGGCCCCTCCTTGCTCCATCTGCCTCTGCTGCAGCCTGTGCCATCCGGTTTGCCAGCCCAGCCCAGCCCAGCAGGCTGGGACCCCAGGCTGTGCCAGC